TCCGGATAAGTCTATCATTAGCTGGGTTCGGCGATTAAGTATGGAATTGGAGTGGAGTAAGAACAGATTTTTGTCACGTGATCTAGGAGTGATGAGAGTGAAAAATTAATACACGAACGACCGGAACGGTCGGAGCAAAAATGTCCAACAGCTTTATTTTCTTTCAAATTTTGGGTTTCCTTAGTTCAGAATCAGTTCAAAATTGGATTGCGCATGCGCATTTGTTTATTTTTCTACTGACGTTTCATAATACGCTATTAAACGATTGAAATCTGTTTCATAATGAACTTCATTATGATACAGATTTTCATTATGATACAGATTTTTCAGCCACTGGAATCGAGTTATTTTTAACATGAATAATGTTTGTATAAAAATAAGATACTTGTTTTGGATTATTTCTATTAGCATTTACCAAAAGAAACAGCAAAAAATTAATAAATCGGGCGCGGAATTTAGGCCCAAATGACGTCTAGATCTTAATTTTTGAAATTGTCTATAGTTGTCAACAATTGTCACCAGTCAAGAAGTTAACTATTCTTAAAATAAATATGTATTTCGTTTATTAATGGGGAGTAGAAAAAATAGTGTATAGATACCATAGACTGACGTCACAACACATGAAGCTTGACAGTTTCCACATTTCACTTCTGCGCGTACTTACTCTAAAAAATTCTATTTCCGAGGTGGAACTTTGGAGTGAACTCTGTAGTATAACATACCCGGGTTCGTTCAGTAAGATTGAACGGGGAAAAATTTTATTACCTTTTAAACAACAAATCTTCTGAAAAATGAAATGAAAAACAAATAGGACCTATGTTGTGGAAACTTACTCAATTTTACTTACTGGACATGCGCCCGACATACCAAATATTTGGGAAATTTAAGGGAAGTTGTGACATGTAAAAGAAATGAAAAATTTGTGAAACGTCTACTTTATTATTAAAGTAAATCGTACCGTTCTCATCGTGGAACTAACGAGGGGAAAGAGCACGGCAGAGAAACCCTCGATCTAACATTCCTCAGAAATCGAAACATACTGTGTCATTTTAATAATAATTCTGAGCCATTAATTTAATAATTTAGGTCAATAAAAGTTTAAATTAGGTACCATCCTTTGTCTTTGTGCTAAAATTTTAATTCCACACATAACATTCAATCAACACTACCTATATTCAATACTGAAGAGTTTTCTGTTAGTTAACCAGTTTCCCAGCAGGTACTGAGGTCCCATACGGGAAGCTACTCAGCTATAGTTGTTTTTGAGCCAATATTTCTAGATTTATTATTTTAATTTGCTAGGATATTCTCTCGTCAGGGTAGGAAAATGTTAGTAAATTCAACAAGGCTCTAATGCACGCTCCAAATCCAAAAATCAAAATCGCAGCAAAAAAAGATAGCACATAATTTTTCTAGGTTTCAATTTACTCTTTATCTGTGTTGTTTACAGCGTGAAACGTTTTTTGTTAAATACATGAACAATGCACATGTTATAAAAAATGTTATAAACAAACCAAAAAGACATAAAAATGAAAAAAATAATACTTCTATAAATTGAACTGTCAAAAACAAAATAATAATTAATCAACTGACTTGTGAATGCTCCTGGACACACAAACTAATCACAAATTCGATTGAACAATTAGTTTAATACAAAATAAAAATAAATTCTAAATAATGAACAATTGCGGACAAACGCTCTTAAGGGACTAGCCCGAGCAATGGACCCAAGCGTCTTCTCGTCGCCTTCTAGCTTTTTTCGTGCAGTACTCTCGTTCTTCCCTAAACCTAAACTTCATGGCGTAGTACATGGTTGCAATATTTACTTTTATTCAGTAAACGTTTTTTTAAAAAGTTAAGATGTAAAGAAACAATATTTTAAATAGGTGGTTTTCCTCAACTTCATTTACTCTACTCCGTATAGTGGAACGCTAATGGAGTTACCCCTAATACGTCAAAAAGCAATATTCGAACGGCTGGAGTGCGAATGTAGTAACTCGGTGTGCACGGAGTGAGTAAGCCGAACCCACCTATTAGTGCAAATTTTTGACTCCCCAATAACAGATTTATACTGATTTCTGTATGTGTTTCTTTGTAGTCGTTGTTCTATGGGTTGGCGTACATACAAATCTACCCTAGGAAAATAAGACAAAAAAAAGGCCATCTGCGAAATGTGGCAAGCTGAATTTTTGCAGAGACCTTCGTTTTGATGTTCTAATGAAGCACAAAAAAATCCCATATACCCTTGTGCGTCTTGAGATATCGAAGGTCAAAGTGATGAAAATCGGTTTTTCGCGGAAATCTCGCTTCTAGTGCATTTGATGTCGAAAAACCCAAAATAAAAGTTACGTAAAATAGTATTCTTTACAAAATTGTTCATATACATTTTTTCCGTAAGACCAATCGTTTTCGAGATATAACGTGATAAAGTGGGAGCGCGCATTCAAAATATGAGAAACTGTATTATATAGGGTGTCCCCGTTCAACTGGTCAAAAATCCTAGGGTATATAGAGAAACTTTAGAGAAGTAATTTGAGATAGGACAGTGATGGTAGGAAGTGCCATCAAAATACAGGGTGTTAAAATTTAAACAATCCTCTTTCAATATTATCTGGAGGGATAATGCTGGGCTGTTCAAATTTTCAGGGATTATTGATGTAGGAATGATATTTAAAAATTCGTATAATGCACCCCCATTTTCTACCTGGAACCATTGCAACAAATCAAAATAAATTATACATTACTAAAATAGTTATTAAGGTATCAAGGGTATTATAAGGATATTAACGTTTGAGGTCAATGGTGTATTTCCCGAGGGCCTCTGGCCCGAGGAATATATAAGTACGTTGACCGAAAACGTTAATATCCTAAATACCCGTGGTGCCTTCAACGTTTAATGTCCGACATAATTATTTTTTATATGAGAAAATTAATGAATAAATTAATCTAAAACAAATAAAGTACCTCCAAAAAAAAAGAGTCATAACGTCCAAGGGCGTTATTTGTAAATAACGCCCTAGGAAATTATTTTCTATTTGAAAAAATAGTCATAACGCCGTAGGTCGTTATTTTTTAGAATAACGCCCTAGGGAATTATTTCGTATTTAACTGACTTTGACATAATGTCATTATTTCTCGAATAATATACTAGTCGGACCTTAAGACCATTAAATTCTCTATAAATCTTCAGTATATTGAGTTTGATAGTTCAAATACTTTTTCAGCAATTGAGACTCAAAGTTGAATTTTAGTCGAAATTTGGGTTTCAACTTCCTTGTTATTGGTATGTAAATCATCAATTCAGCCTCTTTTGCGGATATTTCCAACAAATCGGAATTTTCCCAACACGAAAATTAATTAAGTTCGTGACACACAAAACCCTAACCCCGATTTTCGTCTTAACCCGAAGACTAATTATCGTCCTACAGCGTGTAGATTACTTTCAAAAGCCCTTGTTAAGGGCGGAAATTTTATTCTGCACCGACATTGTCGAGCGGGGTAATTTTCGCCACCTCGTTTTCTTACGAGTAGGTGGAAATTTTAGACGATATTGGTCGTTGAATAGAACACCATATTATGAAGGAAACCCAAAACATTTTAATTTAAAAAAAAAATATACAAATACACTATGGTATAAGTATCAAATTACTTTTTAATTGGGATCATTTAATGAAAAATTCGTTCGTTTGCTCGATGATTAAAAAATTATTTCAGCTGGTCTAACTGCGAAACATGGGCCATCAAAATGAATAATTTTGCTGATGGAATTTTGTATTTATTTTACTTACATACATTGATCATCAAATACATACAATTTTTTTTTATAATTTTCTAAAAATATCCCAATTGATTAATCCTATGTGATGTGGTTTGAACTTCTCGAAACATAATAATTCTAGCTTTAAAATAATGATCTTCTTCTATTTGGACCTAACTTTCATAATACAATTACCAACAGCACGAAATCAAATCACCTAAAATCGTCAAAGTATAAGAAGTATTTAATTACCATTCGAAAAATAAAACGAGAAAGGGCGAAAAGTTTCGCTAACATTATTAATCGGGGAGAAACTACGTCATGCAACAAAGTAAAGAGATTAAAGAGAATCAGGAGGGTGCAAAATTACATCAGCGGAATTATGGTTGACGTATTGCTTTATTCGGTTTTAAAATATCGACGCCAGAAAGTCTAGCTGCTGAACAGGTAAATGTGTCTTCTTGGCCCCGGACATCTTTACGATATCGCCAGAAAACTGTAAAGTTTGCTAATTTTTATCTTTTTAAATTCGGTGGGTGAAAAATTGAACTTTCCAAACAAGTTTCGAAACCAGGATGCTTTATAGAGTGGCGGAAGATATAGATCGAGAATCAAAAAGACACTTTACGAAGAAAAACAACAAATTAAATAACCAAAAAACGAATAACGCTGAATCAATTTTATCAAAAATATAAATTCCAAAATGCACCACGTCGTCGTCGTCTTCTGTCATCATCTATTTCCGACCAATTTCGTTTTCGAAAAAAAAAAAGAAGAAAAAATCGTCCCAATTGTATTATGGGTTCAGACCCAACGAGGGCTGAAAGGTGATTAATTTTCGACTGTGAAGCGAAATATACGACGGATTAAGAGATCGGGAGCGTCCCGACGTGCAGGCGTCGACCGTCGCGGCGCCAGTTTAGCACCTCGCTTTTCCCGGCCACGGCGTCGGAAGCGCCTCCCGGTAATGTCACCTGTCAAACTACGACCGAATAAAACTTTGTTATAACTAGTTTTTGCTTTTTACTACTTCAATGTGATTTGTTGGTAATTTATTCTTAAAAGGATTTATACTTTTGCCCAATACTAATTTTTATAGAAACCAGCCAGCATTCAATTATTCTTCTTTAAATGCTGACTTTGGAAAAACTCCGTAAAAGTGCAAATTGATGACTTCCGGCGACGAAAAGTCGCATACAGGGATGTTCTATACATAATTAATTTTTTTCCTTTTTGGTTTCAGAATTCGATAAGGCACAATTTGTCGTTACACAATCGATTCATGCGGGTGCAAAACGAAGGTACTGGAAAGTCGTCGTGGTGGATGATCAATCCGGACGCGAAGCCGGGAAAGTCGCCCAGAAGAAGGGCGGTTTCGATGGAAACTAGTAAATTTGAAAAAAGAAGAGGTAAGATTTTTGAATAAGAAATACGTTTTTCGTTTCTTCCAGCTTTTTCCAGTTTTTCTTCCGCTTTTTTCTTAATTTTTTTATCGTTTTTGCTCCAGTTAATTTTAACTTTTCCAACTGTTATTTTCTTTTCGTATTTATTTATATAATTTTTAAGCTTCCTTTTCCTCGTTCGTTTTTTTCTGCTTTTTGTTTTGCTCTTTTTCTAACTTTTTTTCTCCACTTTTCACCAAATTTTTCTATGTCAGCTTTCAGCACTGTTCCCAACTGTTTGATTATTCAGTTTGCTGCTATTTTTTCAGCATTTTTCCAAATTTTCTCCACTGTGTTTTTCAGCATTCTCTTCTCATTTTTTAGTTGAGTTTTTCTGCTATGGGTTTTTTTTTTTCTTCAAATTTCGCTTTTTTTGTTATTTTTCCGGATTTTCTCCGCTATTTTCTAGCTTTCTCCCAGCTCTATTTATAAATGTTTCCTTGTTCACCATTTTTCCAATTTGTTTATCCATCTTTTTCTACGCCTTTATTTCATGTTATTTTTAATATTTTTTTTTTTTTTTTTTTAATTATTTATATTTAAAGCCGGTTTATTCATCTTCTGATAAAATCTTGCAAATAGTTACTAGCAAGTTTATCTGAAGATGAATAAACCGAGCCTAAATCTTTCATTGGAAAAGGATATAGACTTTATCTCTTCAAATCTAAAAGTCACAAAAGACAACATTTTTTGTTTCATTTTCCTACTTTTCCTGCAAAGCTAGCCAAGAGAAAAAGTTGAAATTTCTGAAGTGAAAAGAGTTAAATTTGGAGCTAATTATAGTAGAATTTTGAATTGATCCAATGGAAAACATCGACATGAAAAAATCTTAAGCAATTTGGGATGATTTTTCTAAGTGCCTTTTTCCATAGAATCCGGCTCCAAATCTCAGAATCATTTAGGGCCGATACTTTTGCTCTCGATTAACGAATTTGATACGTTGTCAAAGTTTTGCATAGGTCAAGGTCTATAAGTATGATGTGGTTAGAGCACATTCTAAGCCCTGATTATTTTTAACGGCTGTCAAATGAGAGCAAAAGTACTGGCACTTAATGTATGAAATTTGGGGAATAATGCGCGATATGGATAGAGCATGTAGAACCATGTCATATTCAGCTTTATAGAAGAAAATATCCATTTTCAAAAATTTTGTAACTTTGACATATTTCGTTCAATTCATTTGAATTTTTGGTATGTTTTGCCTCCAAGTCTCAAAGATATCGCCTCAAAATGTCATGTTTGTGCCTCAAGTAGTTTTTGAGTAAATGGTCAAAATATAGAGGCATGTCATATTCAGCTTTATAGAAGAAAATATCCATTTTTTAAAATTTTGTAACTTTGACATTTTTCGTTCAATTGATTTGAATTTTTGGTATGTTTTGCCTCTAAGTCTCAAAAATATTGTCTCAAAATGTCATGATTGTGCCTCAAGTAGTTTTTGAGTAAATAGTCAAAATGTATAGTCATGTCATATTTAGCTTTATAGAAGAAAATATCCATTTTTTAAAATTTTGTAACTTTGACATTTTTCGTTCAATTGATTTAAATTTTTAGTATGTTTTGCCTCTAAGCTTCAAAAATATCGCCTCAAAATGTCATGTTTATGCCTCAAGTAATTTTTGAGTAAATAGTCAAAATGTAGAGTCATGTCATATTCAGCTTTATAGAAGAAAATATCCATTTTTTAAAATTTTGTAACTTTGACATTTTTCGTTCAATTGATTTAAATTTTTAGTATGTTTTGCCTCTAAGCTTCAAAAATATCGCCTCAAAATGTCATGTTTATGCCTCAAGTAATTTTTGAGTAAATAGTCAAAATGTAGAGTCATGTCATATTCAGCTTTATAGAAGAAAATATCCATTTTTTAAAATTTTGTAACTTTGACATTTTTCGTTCAATTGATTTAAATTTTTAGTATGTTTTGCCTCTAAGCTTCAAAAATATCGCCTCAAAATGTCATGTTTGTGCCTCAAGTAGTTTTTGAGTAAATAGTCAAAATGTAGAGTCATGTCATATTCAGCTTTATAGCAGAAAATATCCATTTTTTAAAATTTTGTAACTTTGACATTTTACGTTCAATTGATTTGATTTTCTAATATGTTTTGCCTCTAAGCCTCAATAATATCACCTCAAAATGTTATGTGTGTGCCTCGAGAAGTCTTTGAGTAAATGGTCAAAATATAGAGGCATGTCATATTCAGCTTTATAGAAGAAAGTATCCATTTTTTAAAATTTTGTAACTTTGCAATTTTTCGTTCAATTGATTTAAATTTTTATTATGTTTTGCCTTTAAGCCTTAAAAATTTCACCTCAAAATGTCATGTGTGTGGCTCAAGTAATTTTTGAGTAAATGGTCAAAATATAGAGGCATGTCATATTCAGCTTTATAGAAGAAAATATCCATTTTTTAAAATTTTGTAACTTTGACATTTTTCGTTCGATTGATTTGAATTTTTAGTATGTTTTGCCTCTAAGTCTCAAAAATATTGCCTCAAAATGTCATGTTTATGCCTCAAGTAGTTTTTGAGGAAATGGTCAAAATGTAGAGGCATGTCATATTCAGCTTTATAGAAGAAAATATCCATTTTTTAAAATTTTGTAACTTTGACATTTTTCGTTCAATTGATTTAAATTTTTAGTAAGTTTTGCCTCCAAGCCTCAAAGATATCGCTTCAAAATGTCATGTTTGTGCCTCAACTAGTTTCTGAGTAAATGGTCAAAATGTAGAGTCATGTCATATTCAGCTTTATAGCAGAAAATATCCATTTTTTAAAATTTTGTAACTTTGACATTTTACGTTCAATTGATTTGATTTTCTAATATGTTTTGCCTCTAAGCCTCAATAATATCACCTCAACATGTTATGTGTGTGCCTCAAGTAGTCTTTGAGTAAATGGTCAAAATATAGAGGCATGTCATATTCAGCTTTATAGAAGAAAATATCCAGTTTTTAAAATTTTGTAACTTTGACATTTTTCGTTCAATTGATTTAGATTTTTAGTAAGTTTTGCCTCCAAGCCTCAAAGATATCGCTTCAAAATGTCATGTTTGTGCCTCAACTAGTTTCTGAGTAAATGGTCAAAATGTAGAGGCATGTCATATTCAGCTTTATAGAAGAAAATATCCATTTTTTAAAATTTTGTAACTTTGACATTTTTCGTTCAATTGATTTTAATTTTTAGTATGTTTTGCCTCTAAGCTTCAAAAATATCGCCTCAAAATGTCATGTTTGTGCCTTAAGTAGTTTTTGAGGAAATGGTCAAAATGTAGAGGCATGTCATATTCAGCTTTATAGAGAAAAATATCCATTTTTTAAAATTTTGTAACTTTGACATTTTTCGTTCAATTGATTTGAATTTGCAATATGTTTTGCCTCTAAGCCTCAATAATATCACCTCAAAATGTCATGTGTGTGCCTCAAGTAGTCTTTGAGTAAATGGTCAAAATATAGAGGCATGTCATATTCAGCTTTATAGAAGAAAATATCCATTTTTTTAAATTTTGTAACTTTGCAATTTTTCGTTCAATTGATTTAAATTTTTATTATGTTTTGCCTTTAAGCTTCAAAAATTTCACCTCAAAATGTCATGTGTGTGCCTCAAGTAATTTTTGAGTAAATGGTCAAAATGTAGAGGCATTTAATATTCAGCTTCATAGAAGAAAATATCCATTTTTAAAATTTTGTGACTGATATTTTTCGTTCAATTGATTTGAATTTCTAGTATGTTTTGCCTCTAAGCCTGAATAATATTACCTCAAAATGTCATGTGTGTGCCTCAAGTAGTTTTTGAGTAACTGATCAAAATATAGAGGCATGTCAAATTCAGCTTTATTGAAAGGTCATAAGTTTTTTTCTATCAGAAATAGAAAGCTGAAATTATCAGCGATTCTTATCCCAGTAGAGTACTACAATTCCTGAAAATTTCAGCTTATTTGAACTTATAGTTCCAGAAATACAATTGTGTTTAGCAATTTGGGATGATTTATCAATTTTTTAATTTTTCTGAGTGCCTTTTCCCATAGAATTCGGCTCCAAATCTCAGAATAATTTAGTGTATGGAATTTAGGGGGTCTCGAATGATCATTTAGATACAAAATTTCAACATAAAAAAATTTGAAATTTTATCATTTATCATTTTTTCAATTTTTCTGAGTGCCTTTTTTCATAGAATTCGGTTCCAAATCTCAGAATAATTTAGTGTATGGAGTTTAGGGGGTTTCTTTTAGTATTAAGGTGTCTACCTTATAATTTGGATTTTTTAAAATTTTGAAGACCCATAACGTTTTTTCTATTATAAATAGAAAGCTGAAATTTTCAGCGATTCTTATCCCACTAGAACACCAAAATCCCTGAAAATTTCAGCTCATTTGGATTTAGAGTTCTAGAAATAAAATCAATTTATCATATTTTAATATTTTCCGGAAAAACTGTCCAATGGAAAATATTGAAACTTTTGGAGTAAAAAGTAGAAGATTCGGAGCTCCTTAGAATGAAATTTCAAATTGATCCAATGGAAAACATCGACAGGAGGATCTCTTAAAATCTAACTTTAAAATATATTTGAATAGGAACAATTTCTCATATACTTATTTTAATATTTTATAGAAAAACTGCTAGAGGCAAACTCTTGAAATTTCTTCCTTTTCCTATTCTAGGACCTCAATATTCATTTATTTCTTAATTTTCCAATATTTTTGTAATCCAAAATCCAATTTTTTTTTCTGGCACTTAAAATGTTTTTCTTCAAGAGTGTTTTCCAATTCAAGTTTTTCAAATTGCAGCCTCTTGATATTGTTTTTTTATTTTCTATATTAGAATTTTTTCAGTTTTGTTTTTATTCCGGGCTCTTGGATTTTCATTATACTTGTAATCCACGATTCACTTGATGAATTTTTTTCTTGCATCTTTTTTCAGTGAGTTTCAAATATGTTTTCGTATAGGAAAAGAGCTGAAATTCAACTGCCTGATGGAATAGACAAAAGTTTTTGTATTTTTATTATTTTCAATAGGCTCTCAAGTTTCACTTTTTTTTATTGTTTTGCTTTTGACTTTGTCTGGCTTTTCTAACTGTACTAATCGAAAAAGGAAGTTAAATTTACTAGAAAAACATTCTGACAAATTCTATGTTAGAGGTTTAAAGGCTTGAAACAAATTGAAAAAACTTATTGGTCTCTAAAATTTCATTTATTCGACATGGCTTCACAAAATCATCTATTACTCCGTTAATATTTCACATATTTCAATGTAAAAACAACTATTTTGATTCAGAATTTAATGCTTTTCAAGACAAATCAAGCTTGATTTCAATATTTGGAACGGTTTTGAAGATATGGGCCTCCAAAGTTTAAACTTTGTCAGATTTCCCTAGAGCTCCTTTGGTAATAACGTCAAAAATTATTTCTTTGAGTTTTTCAAATTTCTGACTTTACCAATCGAGAAAGGAAGGCAAATTTAGTAGAAAAATATTGTGACAATTCTATGTTAGAGATTTAAAGGCTTGAAATAAATTGAAAAAACTTATTGGTCTCTGAAAATTTCATTTATTCGACATAGCCTCACAAAATCCTCTATTACTCCGTTAATATTTCACATATTTCAATATAAAAACAACTATTCTGAATCAGAATTTAATGCTTTTCAAGATAAAACTAGTTTAATTCCAATATTTGAAACGGCTTTGAAGATATGAGCTTTCAAAGTTGAAACTTTGTGTCAAATTTCCTTGCCGTTAGTGTGCTTTTCTGTACACCGGTGATTTTGGCTACCTCCAAGTTTACTTGTGTTTGATTTGCTTCAGGCCACCATGCAAGTGCACCATATGTTATCATTGGTCTTACAACAGTAGTGTATATTCAGTGTGCAACTGACTATTTTAGTCCCCATGTTTTCCCAATCGTTCCATCCCAGTTTAGTTGTTATCTTTTGCATTTGGTTTCATGTCAGCTTCATATCTAAGATGACGTCTAGAAATTTAGCTTTCCTGCCAAATACCTTGATCTCTTTATTTGTTTTTATTCCAGACAAAATATCCTGCTTATTTCTACTACATTCCATTTCAATGCTTACCTGAAAAACTGTCCACAGGGATTTTTTGAAATTTTTAGATCAGAAAGAGTGAGATTCAGTGTTCATTAGGCTGAAACTTCACAATGATTCAATGAAAGTTAACAACAGGAAAAATTTAGGAAATGAGCCATACATTTGATCAGAAACATTTTCTCGCATTTTAATGTTTTCCTGAAAATCTGTCCAGAGGATTTTTTTGAAATTTTTAAAGCAGAAAAAGGAAGATCAAATGCTCATTATGCTGAAATTTCTCAATGATTCAATGAAAATCAATAATATGTAAAAAATCCTGAACACCAATTTTGAAAATGAGCCACACATTTGAGCGGAAACATTCCTTAGAATTTTAATGTTTTGCTGGAAAACTGTCCAGAGGAATTTTTTGAAATTTTTGGAGTAGGAAAAGGAAGATGTAACACAGAAATCTTGAAAATGAGTTCCAAAATAGGTTTAAATAGTAACAACCTTCCATATTTCAATTTTTTCTGGAAAAACTGTTAAGGGGACTAAGTGAAAATTTTCAGAGTAGAAAAAAGAACAATAAAAGCTTATTATACTACAATTTCAAGTTGATCCAAACTTCCAAAATATATAAAAATGAAGACATCTTAGTAATCAAATCTTAATGTCCTGAAAAACTGTTCAGGAGCAAATGATGAAACTTCTAGAGTGAAAAATTCATTTTAATAAAGCTAAATATTGTTATTTCTAGGCCGAGTGAAAAAAAAAGTAGAAATGATGCGCAACGGAACTCTACCCGATCAACCACCTAGTCCTAGTTCGTCGATATCAGAAAGTTTAGACTTATTTCCAGAATCACCAACCATACACAGGTAAAAACCAGAACTTATTCCGTAGCAAATTTATTTATTTTATAATGACATATAACGTATCTAACGCTTTTTTTTATTTTTTTCAAGTAACACATTATTATGTATTTGCATGAAATAATAATTTTCTTTTTTTTTTTTTTTGAAAATTATTAAAAAGATGTAAACTTGTAAAATAAAAGTTATTTTTTGTGTTGTTAACAGCTCAGCTGGCTTCCAGATAAGTCCAGAGACAAGGCCGAGAGCTTATTCCAATCCCTCAGTTTATAGGTAACAAATAATTTCATCCAGAATTTCATCGATACACTAACATATAACATTTTGGGGAAAATACCAGGATCCAATTTTCATTGTGTGGACACTTTTAATATTTTTGTATCATACATGGTTTACATCAATTTAATCATTTTGTGTTCCTATATATTTGATTTTTTGCTTTTATGTAGATTTTAGTGTATTTTTCATTTGTACTATCACAATTCACACTCAGCTTCAAAAATCAGCTCAAATCTTAACAAAAAAGCAAAATAATTCTTCACTTCTCAGTGGCGGCGGTTTTCAATTGAGTCCAGACTTCAGACCGAGAACTTCTTCACAATCTTCAGCAAGATTATCGCCGATTCCTTCAGTTGGAATCGAATCCGAATGGGGTTTCAGCGGTACGAATTTCAGCAATTCAGATATGATGAACGGTACTACTGGAGGCAGCAACAATGGCAATTATTCCCCTGATCAATTGGCTGGAAATTTGGAGTTGAGGATGAAACTGGAACCTGGTCAATATATGGGGTAAGAGAACCTTCTTAGGTGTCTTATCATTTTGAATTTCTATAGTAGATTTGTATTAAGATTTATTGTTATTTTGCTGCTTCTTAGTTGATTCCTGATGATGATGAACTAATTGCTGATATATTGAAATTATTTTCTAGTTACATTAACGGTCAAAATTCGCAAAACCAACCTCCACCATCCTACAATTCGTCGTTATTCAACGAACAACGGTTTCAAAGTCGAGATTTCGGTTCTTTAGGGGCAACTTCACCTTATTCCTGTCCGATACACAGGATGCAACCTTGCACGTGTATGCAGACCTGCATTAAAGTTGAGGTAAAAATTCACTAAACAGTTTTTCAAAAATTCTATGGAAATCGGTCTTTTGACTATGTTCAGAAAAATTATTTAACGAATCAGGAGCCGATAATAATAAAAATTTTGATTATTATCGGCTCTTGATTTTGATCTTTACTGACCAATTCATTTTCAGAGAATGTCCCCAAGTGATATGTCACCAACATACCCACACTCAGAACCATCCCCTGATCCGTTGAATAGTCACCAATACATGGAAACCCGGTTACCACCAAGACCACCTTCTTCAAGTCCACCTTTGACACCACAAAGTCAAGGTACCCCATCTTCGATGAGTACCATGATGGGTCAGTACATCGGCGCCCTAAATGTGAGCGAGGACCTCAACATACACGTCGACTCATTGCCTGGAGGTTTTGATTGTAATGTCGAGGTAAAACTCAGAAAAAATCCTAAATGATTGAAGTTAATTGATTGTTTCTTTAGGATATAATCCAGCAAGAACTGAACGCAGAAGGCTGCTTAGATTTTAACTTTAGCGGGCAACAACAGGCCATGGTGCAACAGGCAGCTGAAGCTTCGATAGCTTCTAGTCATCAAACGGCGCCGCCTCCGACTTATTCTCAAACGGTGGTCACGTCTCCGTCGTGGGTTCATTAGTCTCGATGCATCAAGGTAAGAACAACCACAAATTTCCATGTAAAATCTTTACGCCAAAATTCACCTAATCAAATTTCTATCTCGTCGAGATTGAATTTAAAATTCAAAAGTGTGCCTCCCTCTTTTGCGGTGCACGAAGTTGGCTTGACAGAAAAGCCGTGATAAATTTAATAAAGACCATTCAAGGATTTTTTCTTGATGGAAAGTTTTGAGTTGGGAACGATTATAGGCTTTCTTACTTTGAAACTGTGAAATAGTAAGCCTAGTTTGGGTCAAAGTTTAAGATTTACAGCCGAAAAATTTAAGATTTGATTAGGATTTTGCCTTTAGAATTGAAGTTAATGATTCAAAAAGTATTTTCTTGATTTTGTAAATTTTGAACAAAGCTCACTGTAATATTGATTCAGAGAAATATCAATTGACAACTGCCAAATTCACCCGGTATATAACATTGAAATCTTATCATATACTTTTGTATACAGTGAGTTTGTAGAATCCCGCATAAATTCATTATTTTGAAAACCATAGATTTTGTGAAAAATCGCTCAGACCTCAGACACGTCAACTTTGTTTTTCTGTTTGAAATTCTTCGATATTTTTTTTTTATCATAGATAGGAAGCTGAAATTTCCATTGAATCTTATCTCAATAAAGGGACTACAATCCCTGAAATTTTTAGCTTATTTGCACTTATAGTTCCTGAGATAAAATCATGTTAAGCAAGTTGGGATGATTTATCAATTTTTCAATTTTTCTGAGTGCCTTTCATCATTTGAAATTTCATCGTTTTAGTAAAAAGGTAGCTACCTTATAATTTAGATTTTCGAAAACTTTAGAAGGGCATAACTTTTTTTCTATTATAGATAGAAAGCTGAAACTTTCACTGAATCTTATCCCAATAAAGGGACTACAATCCGTGAAAATTTCAGCTCACTTGCATTTATAGTTCCTGAGATAAAATCGTGTTAAGCAATTTGGGGTGATTTATCAATTTTTACTTTTTTCTGAGTGCCTTTTTTCATAGATTTCGGCGTCAGATCTGAGAATATTTTAGTGTATGGAGTTTGGGAGATGTTAATTGACCATTAGAATACAAAATATCAACAAAAAAAAATTTGAAATTTCATCGTTTTAGTAAGAAGTTAGCTACCTTATGATTTAGATTTTCGAAAATTTTAGAAGGGCATAACTTTTTTTTCTATTATAGATAGAGAGCTGAAATTTTCACTGAAATTTATCTCAATAAAGGGACTACAAACCCTGAAAATGTTAGCTCATTTGCACTTATAGTTCCTGAGATATAAGCAATTTGGGGTAATTTATCAATTTTTCAATTTTTCTGAGTCCTTTTTTTCATAGATTTCGGACAACTGCAAATCAATTATTAACTTTCTGGGTTTCAAAGTAATCTTGTTAGTTTCTTTTCAAGATTCCTTTCCTCACGATTTTTTGTATTGCGCTCTTGGAGTCTGAGATTATTATTACCTATTTTGTTTGTTTCTTCCCTTAACGCATTAGGCGTCACATATACAAATATTTCAGCAGTGCAAATGTTAGTGTCATCTAAACATTTTCCAATTATGCTAATTTTTCTTGTTTTGTTGACTACACCAATGCTGCATAGTCCTATCATGGGTTCCAGAGACGCATCCGTGTATATTAGGTCAAACCCTGTATATCTGCTAAGGATTTCCTCCATTCTTTTTTGACAATTCTGTCCATATTTTTCCATCTTGGAATAGTAGAGATAGTAAGGGAGTTCACTGTCACACCGCGCACCCGATCTCATCTGCCCAGTTAATCTGTCAGTGTCTAACCCAAGTGACGCCATTTATCAATGCTAACCTACTCCCAGCTACTTCAACTGAGCCCATATCTGTCAACCTAGCGGGGGCACCTGAGCCTGGGAGATTTTTTAATACCGTGGAAAAATTATCTAGATCGGCGGCGCCTTTACTCTGAAATTTCGAGGATTTGACCCGGGCCAACCTCAAATTTTTGGCGGTTTTTTCCGGAATTTGACCGCAGTCCCTTATCTCATGGTATCATCTCCAGACCGTAGTTATCGTCCATTCGGGGCGTATATTATTTAGGTACCGAAAAATCTCATTCATTTAACCTAACTATACATTGATTTTCCCTGAGATAGAAAATTCTAGACAATAAAATACCAAAAACTACAGCTATGGTTATTATACAAGTATAGATTAAGTAAGTATAGGCATCAGGTCTCGAGTCGGGAAAAATTTGGGATCGGCCCAATGGCGTAACTAAGGGCCCGCAGTTGCGGGGGCCCCGTGATCTTGGGGGCCCCGCAGGGTCCCAGGTCATAAGCGACAAGAAAGTACTAAACTGGCGACAAGAAACCAAAGCAACGCCAAAAATAAAAATTTCTATCAAAAAACTTTCTTAAACAGATAAAAACACTTCTTCAGAAATTCACAGAAAATACACAGTCTCTTAAGGTTATGTTTGCTATGCCGCAATGCCATCTTGAACGTCAAACATCAAATCGCCCTATACATACCAAATCATTGAAAAAGTATGTCTAACTCTTTAACGATTAATGTCCGCCTAATTATTTTTCATATGAGAAAATTTTGAACAAATTAATCTAAAAGAAATCAAGGACTAGCATTTTCCTAAAAAAAAAAAGTCATAATTTAGGTTATTAAAATAGTAATATCGCCCTAGGGCCTTATTTTCTAGCATAACGCCCTAGGGAATTATTTCGCATTCAACTGACTTTTACATAATGTCATTATTTATCAAATAATATAACAGTCGGATATTAGCTAAAATAATGTGGGTAGGTACTAAAATAATAGGTCTGTTACTGCAGAAATCACAAACCAGTCAGAGTGAATTTCATTAGCCGAAACTATAGTTTTCTGACAACCAATGAAAGGACCCCGCAATATTTAAATGGAAATTGGTTACCCGTGATATTTGGATGAAATTTAAATATGTTGTTGGGGATGCCGTAAGTAACATTTTTTACCATGGGCACAACCCTGTATATATGACAGGTGAGGCGTGGTTAGTTGTCAAATATTGGAAACTTATATCCAAAAGCAGAGTGACTATGGCAGATTTTGATGAACGAAGTATCGATGTCTACTAGGTCGACCAAGTTAAGTCGAAAAATGTCAACGATTTTGACACCTGTCAAAACCCTGCCAAATGGCAGCGCTCATCTTTTCCAATTTTCAATATTTCATGATGTCATTTGACATTTTAAACACGTATGTGAATTCTGAATTCAAAAATTGAAAAAAAAAATGACATAACTGTCAAAACCTGTCATTTGTTTTAGTAGAAAAAATTACTCTAATCTAATTCTTTTTTGTTTCAAGGTTGTTTATTAGTGATAAAACATTAAACAAAGTTCATGCATGTCACATTTTGACTCTGACAGTTGTCAAAATGTGACATACCCAAACTTTGTTTAATATTTTATCACCAATAAGCTACCTTGAAACAAAAAAGAATCAATTTAAAGTATTTTTTTCTTCTAAAACAAATTACAGGTTTTGACAGTTCTGTCATTTTTTTTTTTAAATTTTTGAATTCAGAATTTACATACAAGTTAAAAATGTCAAATGACATCATGAAATATTGAAAACTGGAAAAGATGAGTGCTGCCATTTGGCAGGGTTTTGACAGGTGTCAAAATGGTTGACATTTTTCGACTTAACTTGGTCGACTTAGTAGAAATAAATTTTTTGTTCATCAAAATCTGCCATAGTGACTCTGCTTTTGGATATAAGATTCCAATATTTGACAGCTAACCACGCCTCACCTGTCATATATACAAGGTTGTGCCCATGGTAAAAAATGTTGCTTATGGCATCCTCAATGACATATTTAAATTTCATCCAAATATCACGGGTAACCAATTTCCATTTAAATATTGCGGGGTCCTTTGCGCTGGTGATTACTAAGCTAAAAGAAAATACCTAAACATAACCTATGAACCTCACCAACCATTGAAAAAGTACCTATGTCTAACTTATGTGAGAGATCTCAGAGAGAAATGTTTAGCCATATTCACAGATGCAAAATCAATTATGGCCGTTTTAAGTTTTAAGTGATATACTACTATTGCTTTCTCTGAAACGGTAAGAGTTACAGAGTCGGTAAAAGTTAAATTAAATAAAAGTGGTAGATTTGAGTATTAACAAGGACCTGGTGGGAAGCAGACCCCAACATTTTGTTAAACATATATAAAGGATTGGTGAGATCGCACATAGAATATGACTGCCAGGCACACTAGTAAACTTAATTGGAATAAATAAGATTAAACACAGTTTGAAGCACTAGGGTTGGTTACAGGATGCATGAAAAATACACCAGTGTATGCACTGTTATCAAAAACCGCCGAAATGCCACTCAGAATAAGAAGAAATTGGTTGTGTGCAAAGTTTGCTCTAAAAAAATTGGGCATCAATGGAGACCTGGCAAACAAGAATGGGTTCATATGTCAGTGTCTAACCCAAGTGATGCCATCTATCAATGCTAACCTACTCCCGGCTACTTCAACTGAGCCCAAGTAACGTTATCTGTCAACCTAGTGGGGGCACCTGAGCCTGGGAAATTTTTCGATACCGTGGGAAAATCTCTAGATCGGCGGCGCCTTTGATATGAAATTTCGGGGAATTGACCCGGGCCAATCATCCAGTGGCTTAAGTTCAAATCCGGCTCCCCCCCCCCGCGCAAGGGTTTTCGCGGGCCCATCTTTTATGTATTTTTTTTTCTAATTTTTCTTTATAGATACAGGGTGTCCGTTTTAAGTGATAACACTATTGCTATATTTCCGAACCGGTAAGACGGACGAGAGCGGTTGAATTAGATAAAAGTGGCAGATTTTAGTATCCATTGGAGGTAAGTTCACAGGGTTGTCAATTTTTTATTCGTTTCCGAGATATAGAAGATAACAATGACACCATTTTGTAGAGAAGAAAGAATCTTGAATCTTTTGTATAAACACTTTTTTCTAAA